GTTTCGCCTGAGACGTCCTCACCATTGTCGTCGTGGTGGTCGACGTCGCCAGGGGCCCCGGACGCTCCGAAACATACTATGCTTTGTCACATGTCACATGGTACACAAAAGTGGATATGTTTTACACACGTGGCAGGCGGAAACATTCGTGGCGATATGGTCCCACGATTGTGCGACCCGTATAACAGGCGAAGTGGGCATGGACACCGGAAGCGCAGTGTGTTCGGCCACTGTATCACAGAGTGCAGCCATCGATCGCATAATTCCTACTACTATGCGGCATCGGACCACGTGGCAGCGTTAGGAGAAAACCTTTCCCAGCCTGTAGGGGGGCATCCTGTGGGGAGGGCATCTGGTGGGGCATCATTCGGGGCAGCGTGCGGGGCGGTATACTGGGCACCGCACAAGGCATGTTGCGGGGCAAGTGATGGGTCATCCTAGGTGGCAGCATATGGACAATCAAATGGGGCATCATATTCGGATACAGTTGGGAAGGACATAGTGTGAAGCATCGCGTAAGGCACCTGATGAGGCGTCCTGCGGAGCGTCCTGGGGTGGGTTTCATTGGGTGCATTGTGCGGTGCATCCTCTAGGGGGCATCCTATGAGATCTATCGTGGCGGATCCTGCGGAGCAGCCTGCGGGGTATCGTATCGGGCATCATGCGGAGCAGTATGTGGGGCACCATAGGGGCATCGTATGGGGGATGTGGCGAAACGCATGTTGCGCAATCTGTGAAGTTCAGCACACGTGGTACAGTATAGATGTTGCGACCTATATTGTGCGAATCACGTGGTGCAGTATATGTGGTGCGAACCATGCGGTGCGCAATACGTGTGGTGCAATCGACGCGGTGCAACATGTGTGGTGCAATGCATGTTGTGCAAATCGACGTGGTGCAATAAACGTGGTGCAACCGATGTACTACAATCTGCAATATACAAAGCATGGTGTGCAATCTATGCTGTGCAGATTTCGTGGAGCAAACTGTGTGGTGTAACGCATTGCTGCTCGCACTGGGCAATATATGTGATGTAATGTATGTGGCACACTATATGCTGAACAATCTATATGGTGCAGTCTCTGTGGTGCAATCCCTGTGGTGCCAGCAACTGCCTTGCACCGCGCTTGACCACCTCCCATGTTTTTGAAATCATCCAACCCACCCACCCGCAACGTGGTTTGTACAGCCCATTCGGCGGCGATTGCGATGAGTGCTTGACGTTGGCTGGTGCATCTCTGCGGCAGCGACAGCCCGCGCATGCTCGCGCGCACAGCGGCCAGCTAGTTTGGCGCGACCGACGCGGCCGCGGTGGCGCTGACCGCTTGGCACTTCCAAACGGGCACTTCAATTCGAGTCGGTGACTTGGGCGGGCGCGGTATCATGGCGACGCCGACAATGGTAGACACGCTGATGAGATGATGAGAGTAATGATGGTGACGAAGGTGACGATGACGACGGCAAGGCAAATGACGGCGCCGATGCCGATGACACCGACGACGATGACGGCGCTTTCGTGTCAGTGATGAAATTTTTGGAAGGAGTTCGACATGCGCGCGCAGCCGACGCGCGAGAGTAGCCGCATTGTGTTATGCGACACGGATCGTGCCCCTCCCTTTCAGCACGCGTTCAGGGGCGTTCGAATGATTTCGGCATGCGGCGCGGGAGGCCCGTTTGACAGAATTCCATGAAAATGTTGGGGGGCAAAACTTACGGTTGTGTTAAGGATTCGCAAGAGCTCGAGCGCACGTTTTCTTTCAAAACCATGTGTTGTTTGTATGGTTTTGATACTCGGATTTGAAACCCTCGGATTTGAAACCCTTACGAAACCGAACGTTTGTCACTGATTTCGGCATGCGCGCGCGACGACGCGCGCGTGCGCACTTCGTCCTATGTTTTGCAAACGGTTCTTGCGACAGCACGCGCGCAAGGGCTTCCGAACGATTTCAGCATGCGCACGAAGCACGCTTGGCAGCAGTTTAGGAGAGTGTTGAAATTCCTCCGATGTTCTTCCAAATTCGCAAGAGCGCGTTCGCAAGCTTTCGTTGAAACTCCGTGTTGCGAAACCATGTGTTTCCAATGTTTTTGGGACACTCGATTTCGAAAACCCTGACGCAGCCAGAAATGTTGAAGGAGTCCGGCATGCGTGCGCGACGACGCATGCGTGTGCACTTCACCCGATCTTTTGCCAGGAAAGTTTGAAAATTAATGAGTTTTGATAAACAAGTGCGCGCGCATAGAGTTGTTTGCAGAGGATGGCGGGGGTGGTCGATACGGCCCCCCTTGGGAAGGTCCGAATTCATGTTTACAGTGGACGATGGGACAGAATCATGTGTACATTGCAAAACGAAGAAAGGGTACGGATAATCCTGAGGGGGATAGAATCTGGTCTCTTTTAAAAGAGGATAATCTATGTGGATCGCAGTATATGTGGTGCAAACCGAGAGGTGCAATCTATGAGGTGCAAACGACTTTTACAAATGACTTGACAAATCCCATGCCCTTGCAAACATCTCACCCACCCACCCGCAACTTGGTCTGCAAAACCCATGCGGCGGCGATTACGATTAGTGCTTGGCGTTGGCTGGTGCATGTCTGCGGCCGCGCTTGCCACTTTATATTTTTATTTATTTAGATATACATCTATATAGAGAAAAATCCCTTCACATGTTGAGGGCGCCTGGATGATCTGAATTCATGTCTCGGATGGTGGACGATGGGGCAGAATCAGATACAAATTGGAATGCGAAAAGAATGGGGGTGGTTAAATCTTGGGGGGGCAGGTCCTAATACCTTGTTAGAACTAAAAATCTAGGCAGCGAGAGGCCTCCCAAGGACCCCAAGACAACTCCTGCTACGCTCCCTGAGCATGTTCATCTCGTATACGGGCGGACCCAGGATCCCGCAATATTAGTCGTAGAGCGGCCGAATGAAGCCTAACATCCTCGCACAAACACCAATGCGCCCCACAGAAATTCCAACATAGCCGCAGACGGACCCCAAACAAGCACTCGAATGGCCCAACAGTGGAACTCCATTGGTGACAAGCCCAACTCCATGGGTGACAAGCCCAACTCACGATGGTGCCGCATACCCATGACGGGCCCAAACAAGCCCACTAGAAACAACTACACAGGAACTGCTCCACTTCCAAGACTGCTGACGTAACGCCGCTTGAAGAAGACCACCGCCTAGCAGCGCAACAAGGGCAACGAGCGCGCGGGCAAAAACCAGCGACGCCACATTAAGGGACGGCGGAGTGAGCAAAGCGATCAAATAACTGTGCTGCTGTCTCCATGCCGCGGAGTTCTTGTGAAGCAGTCGATTTGGTGCAATAGAGGCGCAGGCGAGGAGCGCTGCTCCCCCCTGTCAACCAAACGACCGCGTGTCGGGCGGTGTGCTGCTGGCGACCGCCTTCAGCCTGTAGTGCTGGTCTACGAGCAGCCCTTGAGTCGTAACGAAATCAAGGATCGTTGCGTAAAGTGCGATATGAGGTGCCCCAAATATTCGATCAGACTTCTGCCGCCTGGCGCCCACAAAAATTCCAGGCATGGCCGGAAAAATTGAGCAGGTGGGAACCCCGAGGAAGAGCTCAGATCGGCCAACCTGCTGCGCCCCAGTCTGAGGGACAACTTCCCCGAGCCCCTTCACAGATCATCTGGCGGGCCTGTACTGAGCTGGGACCAAGCCGTATGGAGCTCCGCGCGGATGTCTTGGATCGGCGGAGGGCCCCCCCTCCCTGGCGTCCGGAGCGCGCAAGCGACAGCGCCAGGAACGCCGCCAGGAGACTACAGCGCAGACCCAAAAGATCCGCGCAGAGCTCCGGCAGCTGTTCTTCTTCGATGGCATTTGCTGCCGCCACGGACACACTCACGTAGAGGTCTCCTAGACGGGGTCGGAGTGGATGTAGTCGGAGGATCGCACCGCATTGCCGATACGTCGGCGATGCATCGGCGATGAATCGGCGGTGCACCGACGAGACATCGGCGACGTGGGCGATGCATCGGAGACGTCGACGTGAAGCAAATCGGGCTCCACATCGAGCCGTATCGCCGATGCATCGGCGATGCGGCGCGATCCTTCGACCCCATCTACTCCGACCCCATCTAGAAGGCCTGGATCACGAGGAGCAGCTGGCGCAGAGGCCAGGTTTACCCAGAGCTGGCCGGCGAGGCCTCACGCGGCCAGCTCCAAAAGCGCATGCTCCGCCAGTAGGGTCAGACGGCGGGCTCGTTGGCGTTAGCTCCCTCATCTCACGATCCTCCCCCTCCTCCTCCTCCTCCTCCTCCTCCTCCTCCTCCTCCTTTCCTCCTCTTCCTCCTCCTCCTCCGCCTCCTCCTTTTTTTCTTGTTATTATGCTTCTTGTTGGCATTATAAATATTATTATTATCATTATTATGACTAATAAAAGTTGTGTTATGATGATTATTCCTCCTCCTCCTCCTCCTCCTCCTCCTCCTCATACTCCTCATACCCCTCCCTCACCCCCTTATCCTCCTCCTCCTCCTCCTCCTCCTCCTCCTCAACCTTCTCCTCGTCTTCCCCCCGAAGGCCAGATCTCCGACGATATGTTTCTTCACCGCGATTTCGGCATCCAAGAGCCCGTCATCGAGCCCCCGGATGATCAAAGATGGATCCAGGACGAAAAACTGGCCCTGGGAAGGGGTCGGGATCTCAGGGGCCAAGAATTGAAAAGAAATACTGTTGGGATTGTCGTCGACACCGTTCCTTTCGTGCAGGTTCTCATATCTGAATAGGTATGATTCCGAAGGAACCCAGAGGTGCCCCCCTGTGCCAATTCTGGGCATCGATATACAGATGCGATATTTCTGTCACCCCTTCATTATCGTTTTTCTTTACTTGTTTTGTTTTCTCTCTCTCTCTCTCTCCCCCGTACTTCTAGTTGTCTCTGCATTTGCGCTCGCTGCCCCGTTCATTCCTCCTTCTATCTCTCTACGCGCTAGTCCAATGTCTGGGTTATGATGACGGCGCCACGGCGCCTGGTGCCCTCATCCGCGCTGCAGCTCCCGTCCAAGAGGCGTACTGCAAGCTTCTGGAAGAAGGACAGATTCCTCCCGTACAGGGGCGATAAAACCAGCAACACGAACATTGGGGCGTACCCTGTCCACCGCTCGTCCGTCTCCTCGTCGACACCTGTTTTCTACTTCTCCCCTCTCCCCCTCCTCCACCTCGACTGCCGCTTCCGCCGGCGCCTCTGCACACGGTCCCTCTAATTCCTCTACCTCGTCAACCTCGTCGTCCTTCTTTCACTCCTTACCCTGTCCACTGCAACCCAGCGGGACAGGCGCTTCGCGTGCATCGTCGAACCTGTAACTGTTAAGTACTCCGCGGCGCTCGCTCACATGCCCGGGGACTGTCTACTGCGGGCCGGAGCCTTTCTCATGCGAATTGGCAACTCCCTGTAGCACGTGCTGATGCTATGGCCCAATCGCACGTGCTCCGTAGACCGTAGACCTCGGGCGATCCCCCGACAATCCCAAAGCAAGGATATCTGAGTGACAGGTGTCAATCCTGCAACAGGGGACGCCTGGGGGGGCAGGTGACCGCCCAGTGAGCGTCGCCAGGCCCCAGGACCTGCCATGGGGGTTAGGGGGAGCAATTTTGAGCCCCCCTCCCGCCCTGCGCCGTGTTATATGTACATTTATAGATACACAGATGTCTAGACAAGCATCTTAATATGTATATATATATACATATAGTGAGATATAGGTATAGACATATACACTTACATACACATCTATGCACCTCTAATTACATTATCTTACTGTACGTTCTATTTCATTACATTGCATTACATTGCATTACATTGCATTGCATTGCATTGCATTGCATTGCATTGTAGTGCAGTGCATTGCATTGCATTGCCTTGCCTTGCACTGCATTGCATTGCATTGCATTGCATTGTAGTACCTTACATCATATTGCATACATATATACATATGTACATGCATGCATACATGCATGCATACATACACACATACATTTGATAGGGGAGGACTGTGGCATCAGGCGCGTTCCCTCTCTTTCTAATCCCCCCTCTATCACTACTCTCATTCCTTCTCTCTTCCTCTTCCTTATCAGTTAATAGTACTAGTCCTCCTGATGATTTTACTTGTCCTCCAACTCTCCATACACCCTTCCTCTTCTCCTCCCCTTCCCCGTCGGTTTCCTCCCCTCTCCCCCCCTATCCCCTCCTCCTCCTCCTCCTCCTCCTCCTTCTCCTCATCACCATCATCATCATCATCAGCAGCATCATCATCAGCAGCATCATCATCACCATCACCAGCAGCATCATCATCATCACCATTCGCGTGCTCTCGCCTTCGTCTCCATTTCGTTTTCGAAAGAACCCCAAGAAAGCAAAGGACGGTCCCAAGACGGTTGGTGCGCTCAGGGGAGCTTCCAGAAATTCAAAAGAAGTAACCTATTTTGAGAAACTCCCATGGTACCACCCCAAGGGTATGTTCGAGTGAATTTCTCGAAATTCAGCCTCGGCGCTGGGCCGAAGAATCTCGAGAAACTCCCTCGATCACACCCTTGTAGTGGTACCAAGGGAGTTCCTCAAAATGAATTCCCAGGCGCGCACTGTCAAGAAACTCCCAGGTTTCCCAAAGATGGGGGAAAGACCACCTCGCCCGCGGCCGAATTTCGAGAAACTCCCTCGGGACCACCCTCGGGGTGGTCCCAGGGGAGTTTCTCGAAAAAGCCCCCCCGCCCGCAGGGCGGAATTTCCCCGCGGGCGCCCGCCTGCGGCCGAATTTCGAAAAATTTCCTCGGGACCACCCGCGGGGTGGTCCCAGAGGCGGTTTCTCGAAATGGCCTCCGCCCGCAGGGCGGGATGTTCCCCGCGGGCGCCCGCTCGCGGCCGAATTTCAAGAAACTCCCTCGGGACCCCCCACTGGGGTCGCCCCACGGGAGTTTCTCGAAGTGGCCTTCGCCCGCGGGGCGGGATGTTCCCCGAGGGCGCCCGCTTGCGGCCGAGCATTGGGGAACCCGATCGTTTCTCGACATGTCCGCCCGCAGGGCAAGATTTCCCACGTGGGCGCCCGCCTGCGGCCGAACTTCGAGAAACTCCAACGGGACCACCCTTGGGGTGGTCCCAGGGCAGTTCCTCGAGCGTTCCCTTGGGGTGGCCCCAGTGGAGTTCCTCAGGCACCGCGGCCGTCTCAGAGCGTTCTGGAGCGCTCCGAGGGTGCACCGGAACGCCTTGGAATGGATTAATCCTCGCCCTGGCCCCGTCCGAAAACACCTGGAGACTCCTCCTCCTCTCCTCCTCCTCCTCCTCCTCCTCCTCCTCCTCCTCCTCCTCCTCCTCCTCCTCCTCCTCCTCTTCCTCCTCCTCCTCCTCCTCCTCCTCCTCCTCCTCCTCCTCTCCTCCTCCTCCTCCTCCTCTTCCTCCTCCTCCTCCTCCTCATCCTCCTCCTCCTCCTCCTCCTCCTCCTCCTCCTCCTCCTCCTCCCTCCTCCTCCTCCTCCTCCTCCTCCTCCTCCTCCTCCTCCTCCTCCTCCTCCTCCTCCTCCTCCTCCTCCTCCTCCTCCTCCTCCTCCTCCTCCTCCTCCTCCTCCTCCTCCTCCTCCTCCTCCTCCTCCTCCTCCTCCTCCTCCTCCTCCTCCTCCTCCTCCTCCTCCTCCTCCTCCTCCTCCTCCTCCTCCTCCTCCTCCTCCTCCTCCTCCTCCTCCTCCTCCTCCTCCTCCTCCTCCTCCTCCTCCTCCTCCTCCTCCTCCTCCTCCTCCTCCTCCTCCTCCTCCTCCTCCTCCTCTCCTCCTCCTCCTCCTCCTCCTCCTCCTCCTCCTCCTCCTCCTCCTCCTCCCTCCTCCCTCCACCTCCTCCTCCTCCTCCTCCTCCTCCTCCTCCTCCTCCTCCTCCTCCTCCTCCTCCTCGGTTCGGTTCGGTTCGGTCGAAGGCGGAGCGTCGAAGCCTAGCCACAGAGGATGGTAAGAGAACAGGAGGGGCAGCGGCGGCAGCAGCTCGCGGCAAGCACACGCAAGCTCCTGCCTGCACCAGTCGGCGCAGGTGGCGTGGCAACAACAGTTGCCGCCACGGAAACAGACGTCTGCTCAGGGTATCAATGAATCCCAATCCCAATCCGTCAATCCCAAACATCCTGATCCCCGAGCAGACACAGAGCAAGGGTTACTGCCTTTATAGTGGGCGTACACTAAGAGTTGGAAGAAGGGGAGGGTAGAACATGTGGGCAAAGTCCTTCACCCACGGAGGTCGAGCTACTGACATCGTCGAGCAAAACATCGAGATATTTTGCACCCGGCACATACTGCTTTTTAAACGTGAGCGTAACATGTGCGGCACCTGGGTGGGCGCGGCTCTCCTTCTGTGCCCGGCCCTTCGCCTGGCTTCCGAAAACTCAAGTCTGTTGTGTCGGTCAGGGGGAGCCGTAAATGGGGGGGGGAGAGAGGGCTGCAGACTGCGAAAGTGGGTCCTCGTGCTCCCATGTATGATAGGTCGGTGCAACATACAGTCCATGTGGATTCCTCGGACCGTGTACGGGTCTAGCGGGGTGTAGTATGGTCGCAACCCTGGCGGTATTTCCCAACCATCGTCATAAGCACCAATACCCAACTTGTCTCGTAAATTCTTGTTTTGGTGCAAGGACCAGTCATACACGTGCCCAGTGGGTTGGAGACTGGTGGGAGTCGGCGCCTGACAAAGGCGCGGGAATCTCAGTCGGACGGCTTCTAGCAACGCGGCAGCAATGAACGCACACATGGGGGAGGGGTACGTCTTAGCATGGGCCGAAATCCAATCATCATCACAATCAAGCCCCTGAAGGCTCCTACGTGCATGGCAACGCTGGCACTTGCCACCCCCACTACGACCATTGAGCCACATTTGCATCGTTGGAAAGTGCACGGCCATGAGATCAGTGGGCTTTTTGGAGCCCCCCCCCAAAAAACAAACTCACACTGGTGGATTTCATGGCAACGAACATCGGTCATCGCCGCCAGCCTCTTCAAGGGGGGTAAATGCCAGGAACTGGGGGCCCCGTCGCGCCACGTGCACGGCGCGGGATGCCCCATCACAGCAGGGACTCCATAAAGCCAACTCAATTGGAGAAAGTTAATGGTTGTGGGCGTCGGCACTGGGGGGCTGGAATATGACGCGCTGCAGACCGCGACTCACATGGGGGGCCAGCAACGACTGCAGCAACGCGACCAGAGCGTAACAAATCTTTCCATAGCTCGACTGCGGCAGGGTCCGTCAAATCCCCCCACCTGGGGCTATGTGCGATGTCAAGGCTGACACGGAGTCGGGGGTAACGGCGCATGAACAACTTCTTCAGCCTTGGCATGCCGTCTGGAGAAGGGCACCTTGGGACCAGCGGGGCGCCCGCATAGGACCCATGGGGGATCACTCGCGCAAGCTTCATGGAGCCCCTTACTCCGATTGCTGGCAGAAATACGACGGCATTCATTCCTCGCCTCCTCAACTTCGACAGGGCTGGGTCTGAAACTGGTTCTCTGCCGTGAAAGCAAGCAAGATGGCGAATTCCGCAAGTGTTTGACAAGACGCGGGGTCAGGAAAAAGTCCCCCAAACAAATGTTGCAGCAGAAACCAGTTGCAAACTCAGAGGGGGGAATCACCCATCTTGTGGGTCTTGCTCATATGAATCTTTAGTAATTTAGCAGAGCTGGCAGGGCGTCCACAGTGATAACATACAGATTGGGCAGGGGGCGGGGTAAGAACGGGGTCAAGCAATGCACCTTTAATACCATTGTTGGTGGGTCTTTCCCACACCTGCCCCTGCAGCCAATCATGGTAATATTGTCGTGCCTTCCCGATGGCTGCCTGCGCTGCGCCCGAGAAGACCTTGGGACGGCAGCGCACCTGAGGGAGCCAGTCGTCGATGGTGCCTTCGCCTGGTGGCTTGGAGGGTTCAATGAAAAATGCCAACCACCTGGGGTCCGATATGATTAGTTGCCCCCAGCTATCTTATGCGCCCCAGGCAGAGTCTGCCACGACACGAACAGGGGGGGGGGGGGCTTCGCCCATCATCCTGGCCAAATATCTGAGGCGGGCAACCGTAAGAACGACA